TTTTGTTAAATAAGGACCCTCCTATATTTGTGTCCTGTCCCCAAAAGGTGAACCCAATCCCTTGATCCCCCACACCCTCCCTCCTTGTCTTTCTCAGCTTCTAGCCTTGCTTATTAGATAATAAGGTCCTAGGCAGTGAAGCATGATTTTCAGGTCTCCATATATTTTAAATTCAGATAGTAAAATAACAAGAAAAATGAAGGCACAAAATCAATAACCAGGAAAAGAATTGTTGAGAAAAACTGGAAGAGCTGAGTCAAAATAGCCATCATAAAAATTTGAGTATGATTTTTGAGTTACTTAAATTAATATATTTTATTAATTATAAAAATTTGAGTATAATATAATTTTCCTGAGGGAATAAAAAGTATCACTGATGAGGAGATTTCAGGTGGGTCAGTAATGACCAGCATAATATTTATACTGTGCCATACAGACTGATTTGGCCCAAGTTATTACCACCAGCAGCTAACAAGATTATTAAAAGGGAAAAATAAACTATGCAAGCAAAAGCTATTATATCCATCCTTTAGTTATTCATTTTCTTCTAACACAATGTAAAATACTAATTGTATTGAATACAGTGTAAGCAAAAAAACCAATTGTTTTTGGTAAAAGTCTTCACAGACACAGATGAGAAGGCTGGTATTATGACCTGATCATAGGAATATTCCTTAAAAATATAGATGTCCAAATAGCTACATTACCGCTCATCGGAATGAATTCACCTGTGTATTCACCTTTATCCAGGGCTTTATACTATAGTGATATTTACAATTTTATATGATGAAATGTGAATATGGTATATTTTTTAGTAATTTGATTGGCAAGAAATGGGGGGCAAAGCATTACAAGCATGGCTTTTTAATAATTTATAATTACGTTCATGAATCTACTAAGTTTAGGCACACAATTATATGACTAATTATGTTGAAAATCCAAGTGGATGCTTAAATAGATGACCATGCCCTGAGGCCCTTCCAGTTGTTTCTGCTGTCTTATTTAACCATGCAAATGTTATTAAGCATCCTGGCTAAAAATTTTCAAGCGTGTGCAAGTGTAATTGCATAGATAATTATGCATAATACTGTCACTTATATCTAACATAGATATTCTCCTTTAAAAAAATCAGCTTTATGCTGAGAAGTGTTCTCATTGCAAATATAATTTATGAAGATAAATAGATCAAAACTGTCCTATTGCTCTCCTTCAGAATTTCTTCTTGACTCTCTTTTGTACATTGATTTGAAGGAAAAGAAAGAAAGAT